AGGAAGTCATTTGGTGTCCGCATCATTTTTTTTTAATTAATAGACTCTATCCTAAAAAATGAAGAAAAAGAAGAGATCATGGAATGATAAAGTCGATCTTCATCGAGCGAAAATTTTACTGTGAAGTGAGTAAACTGTAATAAATATTCAAATTGGTTGCATCGATTGCATAAACAGAACTAAACTCGAAAAACGTACATTAGAAATAGTAAGTTCATTAAAACTTTCCTTCCTTTTCAAGTTGCTTATCCTCGAATATAGGCATGCTCATGTGCTTTCACATTTTTTCTCAGCAATCCTATATTTAAAGCTTTAAAAATCTTGTCCATAAATTATTCGAAAAAAACTTTTCTTTCATAATTCTGAAACTAAAAAGTTAAAAAATCATGTTTGGAAATAATGTTTAAGCATATTTAATTTTCTTAATTTCTCAAATTGTTCCCGTCATTTTTCTGAAAGAAAAGCCAGGTGTTTTCCTTAGTCTCACTAAAAATTATTGAGAGCATTGTTTAATACTTTCTTAGAAGTTCTTTCCCAGTTTACAAACCGAGGTGATAATGTTTTGCTTCGAACTTTTAACTTGTTCCTACAATGAACGGCAGTTGCTTGAAGCAATAGGTAATTATCTGATATAATTAATGGCTATTTAGACAGAAATGTTATAAAAAAAATTCTGCATACATCCTCGTAAATTTAATTCCGGATCACGTTCGTTGTGTTTAATTAATTATCGCGATTTACGTAAGCATCTCGCATTAAAAAAAAAGCCTTTTCGATAAAGTGATAATTGTGAGATGGCTAATATTGTACAAGCTTTTATTAAACTAAGCACGTTGACAAATACAGCATTCACTCTGGTGAGTGATAGATCAGAGGCACAGGAATGGAATTTTTTTTTTTTTTCAATATATTCATCGAATTTTTGTAAGTGCTAACATGGCTTTACCGGTATAAAATATAAAATTATAAATAGTATATTTCCTGCTATTCTTTAAATTGATGATGATGAAAGATTTTTCTAAAAAACTTCGTTATTATTTTGATTCCTTAATCTTTGTTTTTATTCAAGCACTACGTAGAATGTTTAGCATGCTAGCTAATCTAATCAAATAATGAAGAAAATACTTAAAATAACTTACTTAAATTTAAAGAGTCTTTCATAAATATTTTCTAGTATTTTTTTACATTTGTGATATGCTTAAGTAGATGTTCAAATTTTTAACTGAATTTTTAAATATAAAGATCGGGATGGGGTTGATATCAGCTGTCTATGAATCTGCTTTAACTAGTCTAATGGTAGATGCTGGTTTCAATTTGTAGTTCTTTATTTTCTGATATGTCGATCGACTCCCAGATATCTGTAATTACTTTTATATTTCCATATGAAATTTTGTACCATATTTCTGAATTTTTCGAAAGCAGTCGTCACATTTTTTAATTTGTAAATTAAAGCACATTTAGTCGTTAACATCTGCCGGATGACTATAAAATACATTTTTAGACTGTTTATTTTTATTAGGGTTAAAATTTATTTAATTGTTTTCTGTTTAAGCATATACGTAAGTATTTTATATTTTAGTTTCTGGATTATTTTCTTAGTCGACTAGTGTGGACTGTTTCTATTTCATAATTTAAATAGTTTTATCTCTAAATCTACAGAGATTTATTTAAGGCACTCATTTGTTATTCAAGATGGTGTGTTTTTCCCCTCATTTCTGAAGTTAGAAGTATGGAATTTAAATATTTGAGTTTCTTTCAAAGCACTTCTTTTGTGTAAAGATGCTCATTTTGTCATTAAATAAACAATTTTTTAAATATGTTGTTTTCTCCTACGACCAGGCACCTGATAATTTAGATTTGTCGGACATTGGTCATTGTGGCCAAATACACTGAGCTATTTAAATACTGAGAACATTGCCTTGGGTACACGACCATCGCCTGATATTTCATCCGCGTGGAAGGGAAGGGGAGAGGCAATACATATACATTATTAAAAATTTAATTCATCGTTTCACCAAATTATGGTGTTAATTAAAATTGCAACCAAAAGATAGCAAAGTACTGTTTCATTGTTTCGAGCTTTGGTTGAACCATTTATTGCCAATATTTTGAACCATTAACTGTATGAAAATTACGTGTATGTTGAGCTATGAACGGGAAATATTGAACCATGAATTGAGAACACGTTGAACCATGAATGGAATGCGGTAAACAATGAATAGGGAGTATATTAAATATGAATTTGGAATATGTTGCAGCATGAATCAGGAATTATGGAAATCATCCTAAAAGAAATTAATAACACATCTAGATATCTTCATTGATGGGCAATATACAATGTCTCTTGGTTATTTTACAGTTTAGGGACCAGATCAGTCTCAAAAAACTAACATCGATAAAATGCGGACAAATTTTTTGGAACTCTGTAATGTATTTAGGTCACTTATAAATATACGTAACACATTATACAACTCTTCTGAATATATTCAGAAGCTATGCATGATATTTATAGTAAATTAAATATGTGTTTGCTTTTAAATGTATGAAACATGCGAAACTGTGGGGGAGAAAAAAGGATCGTCAAAAAGGGAAACTGCTTAAACGTTTATTTCACGCTTAGACATTCCTTCTTTGTAGAACTTATAAAATTTATCAGAATACTTATTTTAAATTCCTTTTCAGTTTAATGAATGCTTTTCATGTTTGAAGATGTTCCGTAATTATCGGTAGAAGTTTTAAATGGTAGGAAACGTTTAAAATCGTCATCTTCCCCCCCTTCCTTCATTGTTCGCATTACCCTTCGTTACCCAATCTGCGTCCATAGCCTTTGCCTTAGTACCAGTGTTTCCGGTAAGTTCCTTAAGTTCACTATTAACAAGTACTTACTACTTACTGATCCAACGTTTTTTCACATTGCTTGTCTATTTTCATTCATTACATCTTTCTTCTCCGACTGATGGCGGCTTAGTGAAATATCCCATTCTACCATCTCGATTCTTCTTATCATTCTTTTGTTGTTCCAGATATTCTTTTATCTGATGCAGAGTAAAAGCGCGCGCTGTCACTCTCTTTCCATTCGACACAAGTCAAGCCCTGAATTTTGTGAAGTTGCACTGGTGATGTTACTTCCTATGCACACAATCAGCTGTTGGAAATCAGACATAAAAAGCTCATAGTGATCCAAATAAGAAAAAGGGAACATTAAGCAAATGTAAGGAAAAGTAGAACTTTTCTTAGAGCATTAAACATCCCAGTGTCTGACCAGTTGCCAATTCTGAGAGGTACTGCCAGTTCATATAGAATAAATTTTTTATTTATCTTCCAAATTGTAACGCAGCATTGTGTATCAGCCTCAGAAATTTAGCGATTTACAAGTAATTTACATTATTTTTCAAAACATTAACAATTATGACATTAGTATATCAAAAGAAAAACGTTTCTAACTCACATATCGTGTACTTCTATTACCGTTTTATATTTAAGGAAAGCAAAAAATATGGAAAAGTTGAAGACAGTGGTCTAAAACATAAATATTTAGCAATGTTTTATTAGTTTTGTTGTTGGACTAGGTATCGACATGCCGTATATTTGACACAAAACTTTATCCTAATTGCATGTAATAATAAATGATGAAGTTCAGTTCTAAAAGAAAAAATATGTCACATATTAAATATTACTATTTAATTGGTACGTAATTCGTAGTATTTACTGTGCAATTGCTATTAAATGAATCAGTAGTTAGATTCATTTGCTGGGAGATTTTTATGTAGGTGTTCATGCTTTTTGAAGTTAATCTGTACGTTTGCTGATTCATTTCTTATTCTTTATAAATAGTTCCGTAATTATCGGTGTCTTATTTCACTGGGGAGTGGTCTGTACGCAGTCTCTTTACAATGCTATATGATATATTACTGTCATTGCTGCGAGTGAGTAAATAATAGTTACTTTTAACATTCAAATATAGCAAAACAAAACATGAAGTGTTATTCCGGTTCCTTTCGTTAAGAGGAATTGAGATGATTAACTTTAGTTAACATTTTGAGTCACAAATTTTTTGGGAGGCCTTTAAGATTTTATTTTTATCGTAGAAATAAAAGGTTATGCAGTCTAATTGGCCATATTTTTAATAGTAAATTTCTGATGTTACAGTGTGATAGCATGCTGTAAACTTAAGCGAACTTATGTATATATATATATATATATATATAAAGAAAAACTTAATGAATTTTAAAATTTATTTAAAAGGACTAAAAAATAAATCCCGTGCTATTGCTGCCAAGATAATAATTAAATAAAGGATACAGAGGATATATAAATCAAAATTATCTCCTAGGAAATGTGAAATGAAATTTAGAAAACAAAAGTGCAGTATATGGTAATTATTAATTATTATATATAGTATATGGTAATTATTAATAATTATTAAAGTAGTAAATAAATACACTGGAATTGGCAATTCATTTGCAAAACAAGTATAATGGCTGATACTTATAATAAATATAGACCTTACAATGATTCGTAAAACAGGTGCCGGTAATTGATAATACATAGTTTAGTACTGTACAACGAAATCGCTATAGATGTTGTTATGTGTTTCTAATATAGTTCTGAAACATATAGAATACAAACTCATTTTTCTTCAAGAGGAAACTAACGTTAGAATACAACTGATCGGTGAAATTTGTAGTCTTTCTCACAAACTAATAGTAGTCCACTGTGTTGCGAATTAGTATACTTTGAATTTAGATCCCCCCATAATAACACAGTAACAATGAACTATGATTAAAAAAAGCAAGAATATAAGCGTTATTCTCTTTCAGGTAGAATTTAAGACAGAGAAGTGTAGAATCTCTGTTGTATCGAAATATTTATCCCCCCCCCATTTCGAAAGCAATATTTATCTGTATAACCAATCCTCAATAAAACTTTCATCTTCAATTATTTTATACCAATTAATGTGTTCTGAAATTAATTCGGCATATTTTTTTTCTCTCTTCTAGGCCGGGAAGTTTTAAATGGTATAGATAACGAGGCTTTGGATTTTAGTGAACTAGAAGATTACTTGAATAGCGATGGTGACAAAAGTAACGAGTGAGTATAATCCCCATTTTTATCGCAATTTATTTTATCATAAACTGCTATACAGTGATGTGAGATACTTTTAATTTAATATTCTTCTGATTTAACTTATTTGAATCAGACAATAAAAAGCGATTCAAATAACTAAGTACTATTTTAGCGAAGGGAATAGCTATCAGCGAATTAACATACATGTAACATTATTTTTTAATGAGACCCGCAGTACATTGGAACTACAATATGGGTCTAAGAATGAAGATACACGCCTTCCGCTTAAATTTCAATTTAGATTTTTATTTGTTTTCTTCAGTTAAATCCTGAAGTGTTTAAAACTCTTAGAATTCCCCAACCCTCTCCCCCCAAAAAAGTATTTCTGTATGATTCTGTTGAAATCGAAAAGCATGATCACATAAACTTCGTGCGTGATTTCTGCTGGCGTATTTTCTTTCATTGTATCTTGCATTTCTTGCTTTTAAAGCGAACTGTGTTTTAATGAATGGCAATGGAAATGATATCGAAACATAACGAATAACTCTTTTATTTATTCAGATAACATTCTCTTAGTCTTAAGTCATCATCGTAATTTTCCTGGTAATTCTAATGTTGCTGGAAAGCCTGAAAATCATTTAAACGGGCCAGATTCCTTAATTTGGGATAGAAATTTGTTTGGTTTGTAAGATATGCATATTTTTTCAAGGCGATCTAACTATTTTGGGTGTTGTTTTTATTACTGTCACATTTCACAGAGATTTGAAATTAACATGCAAAAAATCTCTTTTAATAATAATTTATTAATAAAATGATGTCATTTAATTATAAATTTACATTAGTCCTAAAATTTATGGGAACTGTCTGTTTATTACTTGTTAGAAAAGAAGCAACTATTCTGAGAACTATATATATCTCAATCGCGATTCTAGAAAAAAGCCCACAGAAATAATACTCACAAAATAATCCTCACAGGAAACAGGACTTAGGGAAACATGCCCACATAGAAAAACTCACATGGAAAAATGCTCACTTAAAAATATGCTCACTTAGAAATATGCTCACATAGAAATATGCTCACACAGAAATAAGCCCACTGAGGAAAAAATTCTCGTAGAAATTTCCTTGCATTAATCGATCAAAAGTTAATCGATTTGAACATTGTACGCCTACTTGCATTTTCTAAATAAAAATTATTTAAATTTTCAAAAAATCTATGTCATATATTTAAAAAAATGTATAACTTTATGTGTAGATTCTATAGCTATATAAGATTAACAAATGTGCCGTTTTGAATTAAGAAATGGAGAGGAGGAAGGAAGTAAATAGAATATACAATGAAAAACTTATTACAATTTTAATAGTTAAAAAATAATATAAGAGTAAATATAAGTTACATATTTTATAGTACAAACATTTAAGCAAATAGGAATAATTATTTTATTTTAATTATTAAAAATGTACCTTATTATAAATCGTAAAATATATTTCAAAAATAATAAAAACATAGATTTACTGAGTATTAGTTAATATACGTAAATATCTAATTTTATCTATCTCATCGTAGTATCCTATATGATTCGTGATTACCGAATGCAAGTTTTCATATTTTCTTTTTTTCACTTCCATGCGCCCTGCATTTACATTAACTAAAAACAAACGTTGGCAGGCTAAATCTTTTTTCAGTCCGTCATCGGCAGCATCATCAAAGTGCCTGAAAACGTGAAATTTATTTCTAAAATTTTAAACTTCTGCAGAAATTTTAGAATTTTTGTGGCTCCAAACTTAAGTAACTACATTCAAACACCAGTTTCTAAAGATACGCATAAAAATATGCAAAAAAAAAAAAAAAAAAAAAAAAAAAAAAAAAAAAAAATAGAATTTTAAAAAATTAACCATTAGTAAAATACTACGCAGGAGGGAAAATATCGTACAGGGCCAATGATATAGAATACATACAGGCCCGCAAAATTCAGGATTTAAATCTAGATTTTTTTTAAGCATCAATTTTGTGTTCTTACTTAAGTTACGGCTTATGCGAAATTCTACTACAGTTTTAATATCGCCTCTGAAAGGGTTAATGTGAACGTTTGTCCATGTGAGCATATTTCTATGTGAGCTTTTTTCTATGTGAACATATTTTCATGTGGGCTTTTTACTATATGGACATATTTCCATGTTGGCTTTTTTCTATATGGACATATTTCCATGTGGACTTTTTTTCTGTGAGTATTTTCCGTTCACCCTCAGCCTCAGGAAATAATTTTTCAGTATTAGCATAATTTAAAAAATATGTTTTTCGCTGATGATGTAATTCATAATTTAAGAGACTTACTAGTTGAAAATTATTGCGAGTTTTTAATCAAGGCAATGGACAGTATGATACATCAAACGATACTATCAATGTAAATTCTTGCCTAAAAGTTTTGCTGCAAAATAAGCGTTCAATAATCAAAGATTTCTTAAATTGGTTTTTTAACTTTTATTATTCCTCCTTTCATCTCATAAATAAATAATGTTATAATTGAAGAAAACTAAAGAATGAAACTCGGTGGTTTGCATGAATTTAATGAAAAAGTGCAGATTATAGTTTTATTATGAAACCCCTTACAGAAAGCAGTTTCCCTAAAATGTATAGTAGTCGTTTTTATTATGGTAATTGTTATAATTTATAGAATTTAATATTTAATTGGAAGGGAAATTATATCCAGAATTTAATATCATTTGCCATAATCTCGAACCTCAAAATCAGAATTCGGTCCTGAGCTGAGACGGTTTTGATATGTGAGCGCTAATGATATATCTTAAATATAAGTTTTCTTAGTTCCAAATTAAAATGACATGGCCTGAAAATGCTTCTGAATTAAAGTAGCGTACTAAGTATTTTAAGTTAAAAATGTAAGGTTAAACGTAATTGTTATCTAATTTGCACCCTTCTTTTTCTAACGAATCATCGTCTTCATAAATTGAGCAAACCTAGCGTACGATACAGCAGCCAGGAGCTGTAACCACTATACCTATCAGGATAGCACTCAAGTATTTAAAGAGGGAATACACAAAATCTAGCTTTCACCTCTTAAATCCGCTTCGGAAATTGGAATCCCAGTCTTGTGCTCCAACAAAATTCACTCACTAAATCCGTCAAGTCTCGTCTTCTAAGGCTTTTGTGGTTGATTACCGTAATATTCAAAACGACAAATATGTTCTATATTTAAATTTAACCTAATCTACATTTTGTTGAAAGGTGATTTAAGAAATAGAAGGAACAGAAAGCAGCTTAATATTTACGTGTTGCTAAATAAACTTTAGAAAGTATGAAAATTTCTTTCTCAGGTTTTCTCCCTTTTATTATCCCTGATGGGCGTTATCCCTGAAGGGCTATTAGTCTTAAAACAGCATTTTGCGTCGAATCACTATAAATGCCTGCATCACTTTCTAAATTGTTGCCACCAAATATTATCGCCCTTTATTATATTTAAAGAAATTAAATAATGAATAATCTACGTGAATTTTTATATATTTCTCGCAGTGTGAAAAAACAACGGTACCTAGAGCCATCAAATTTTGAATAACATAGTCAAGGAACATCGTACCTGGAAGCCCGAATTTGGAATTTGTTTTATTGTCTATTTTAAAGCTTTCATAAATTAAACGAAGTTTTGATTAAAAATCTCAGCAAAGTGCGAGCAGTGAATCGTTTATCTCCAGCGCGCGAGACTGTCTGTCGGAAATTCTAAAATGCTGTTTTTAAATATGTTTAGTCTAAAGTGGCGTTAGCCCAAATGATCTTGAAACGCGTATATGTATGTAAATGATAAAAACGCCCGTTTGGGCATAATGTAAAATCTGAAAGTTTTCAGATTTTATACTATAAACGGCTGTATCACTTTTCAAATTGTTAATTTTGCAAATATAAACAAATTTTCAGGGAAAAAAGTCACAGATTTTAACAGCACAAAAGTTCGATTTGAATTAATGTGATGGCTGCCCGCGGCATATTTATGGATTCCCCCCCCCTAGAAATGAAAAACTAATATCAGTTAACTTCTTAAAATCTGATTTTTCAGAGGTATTTTCAAGAATACATTTTAAGAAATGTGAGATGATTGTAACACCTGTTAGTGGAGCATTATGGCTGCAGTTGTGATATATTTCAAATGAACGAAACAATAGTTTTAGGAGCAATTAGATTATCGGTTATCATTTCCATAATCGGCCTACAGTTCTTAGAAGCCTAACTAGAGAATCCATGTAATTTCTGAAGCCTACCTATGTGACTGCATATATATAATTCAAACCCAGTTTCAAGCTTTAATACTGAAGTCTTGAAGCAATGGATTCCAATTTCAAATTATCGCTGAAACGTATTTAGCTTGTACAGTTCGTCATTAATCGCTGTATTAACTTGCATGATAATCAATGTGTTTGTTTGAGTGAATTCACAGAAGGTTTCCGCACCAAATGCCGAGGGAATATGGGAATGTGCTTGTCTTATTCAATGTTCTAATAAAAAGTGCAGAAAAAATAGTCTTCTACTCATTTCTTCTAGCTGCTAGGCATTTTTCTATAGACAAACAGCGATTCCGGACAGTATAGTGGTTAGCAGAAGTTGATTGCATACGTCGCTGAATCGAGATCGAATCGTAAAGAAAATCCATGAAACAAGACCTCTCAAGCAAGATGCATGACTTCGTAGAAAGGGGGCTGTTAAAATCTTTCAATTCATAAATTCTCTCACGAAATTGCCCACTGAGAATTGCAAGGGTACGAAATCCTCAGTTGCCATCCTTGAGGTGCTATCGATTAAAAACGGGATGGAACTTACGCAAATAGCTCTTGTTCGCTTTTCTTGTATTAAACAACCAGATATGCGTAACCGATCGTTTTCTATTAAGATGAGTCTTTTAGTAGTATTACGAATTTTGTATATATGTTAATAATTTTAGTGAAATTTTAGTATTTTTTGTATAATGTAACATGAAATGTTTGAAAGAGAAAAAATTCTGCCGGGAAAATAAGATTAC